AAATCGTTTTAAACAGGTAAACCACATATTTTTCCCCTTAATAAGGTAACATTTTTGCGGACAACATTTCATCAGAAGAATTGTTGGCGACTCGTAAAATCTTAACGACTATTGTGGAGTGATAGACAAACTGGGAGGAAACGGTGAACTACGATTAAAATACAATTTAATATTAAAAAGGTGAGAAAAATAAGAGGGGCAAAATGGAAAAAAAAACAGAATAAACAGTTTCAGTGAGTTTTAAAAGGAAAATATAGACTCATATTCGACCCAGTAATGAAGGAGAACGAATAAATTTCTCTCTCTATCTGTAAAAACACTGTCGGCGTAATGTAATATACGCAGCCTCTAAAGTGTGCAGATGATTTGCCAACCATGCTTTGCCCAAAATGGAAAACCACGAATCGGTGTATTTGTTGCGCGCAATCTGGATTATCTAAAACTTGATTGACTATCATCAATATATATATATATATATATATATATATATATATATATATATATATATATATATATATATGCAAATTTTATATATCTTATCTATATATTATATATGCGCGGTACTTATTGAAAGCGCTTAATATCAGCGATAAAGCTAACATATTTAGTTGGATTGATGTGAGTTACTTAAGCACGCTCGGGAGCCATAATGTAGACACAAACGAGAAATAGAGAATGTAGCACAATCCTCCAATATGGCGCGCAGCCGGTGAAGAAGCGACACTGTCTTCCTCAAGTAACGCCGTGTGGTGACGTATTATATTATTGAAGATAGTGCTGTAAGCTGGAACCTTGTGTCTATATATATATATATATATATATATATAATTCTAGACGATTATTTTCGACTGAAGTACCTGTTCTTAGTTTTTTCTTTTTTTTAGCCTTTTTTTTCCTTGGGTATTGGTTTGTTCATTTACAAGCTAAAACATCTAAGGTTTTGCCGGATGGGTATAGCTGGTTATATTTATAAGATTATATATATATATATATATATATATATATGTGTGTGTGTGTGTGTGTTGTGGTGTGTAGACGAAATCACTTTTTTATAAAAAAACGACTGACAAGCAAATTGCAATTAAGCTTTTTAATTTAATTTTTTTTTTCTTTTTTAATAGCCTTTTTATCAACTTGAACATGGACACAATATCTTGACCGTGTTTTGAAAATGAAAACATTATATTACATGCAACAAACTGTTTCCCTTTAACAGTTAAAATATTTCATCCTTGAAAATGGTTAGCAGAAAGCGACAGGGATTGGCAGTTTTATATAATTTATCATCTGAAAAGAAAAAATATTAGATCGCATGAGAAATTTATAAAGAACTACCTCGTCTGTCGTATCAATATATATATATATATATATATATATATATATATCAAATATGTGTGTTCAATTCATATTACAATGAATCATTCATACAAAATGTAGATTGTGATATATAATGGCGTGCGCAAACACTTTTTTGCCAAAAAAACAAAATAATTTGTGCCTGAAGGTGACTGAATGTACAGTTGAAAGTAATTCGTATTAAAGAAAATCAGCTTTTTAATTTTAAAAAACGATCATATCATTCATCGAGTGATTTGAAGGTTAATGCTTTAAAATTTGCGAAAATTTTTGTATTATTAACTTTACTAATCTACTTTTTTGTATGAATGATTCATTGTAATATAATATATATATATATATATATATATATATATATAATATCAAGCATATTTTCATTTAAACATGGATAATCGAGACATATTATACCTAGTTATTTGTTACGGATCCTTTCAAGTTTTCTAATTAGTTTCTTGAAATTGAGATGAAATCATTAAAGAATATGCCATAGTTTTTTGGGTTTTTTTTTTTAAATCCAAGTACTGTCGACCTTTTCTAGAATCATTTTCAGGGGTAAATTCTAAAGGCAAACACGCTATTGTAATTGCGATAAAATCCGCGTTCCGTTGTCAAAGTGATTTTTAAACATTCTATTAGAATTATTTTAGAATTTTTAAATTTTTATCCGTTGGCGTCATGGAATTTTACAAAAGAGAATCTATCATACATGTGTTTTTAGGTGTTGTACGATAGATATATTAATATATGTTAATTGATGTTTGTATGATAATTAAATATTTGTTTATATAAAATTATTTTATTTTCTTTAGATCTTGTCTTGGTGGTATCTTAAATGTAAGTATAAATGGAACTTTTAAGTTTATATGCTTGTATTTCTTTGCGTCTGAATATATATATATATATATATATATATATATATATATATATATATATATGAAATGGACAAAATCAAATATTTTGACATTTTAGTTTATACATTTTTTTATAGATCAAATATTTAGTAAATGCTTATAATAAATCATTCTTTTACTGACATGAATGTCCAAGAAATTTCGTGGAAAATACGTCCTCCGACAGGAATCGAACGTGTATCCTATACGGAACCGTCATATAGCCTGGCGTGCATTTAACCGATTAAGCCACAGAGGAGCGTTCGGTTGGGCAAGGTTCCCTTGTCTTTAAAACAATCTTTTGCTCAAAAAATCCAAAATGTAAACAAATTTCACATTATTTAAGATTATTTTATTTTTATTATATATAAACATAAAAATGTTTATATATTCGGATGACTAATATTTTCTATGAAAATTTCTCGGACATTCAGGCCGGTAAATGATGTTTAATACTGTTTATTATAAACAGAGTATTTACTTAAATATCTGTATCTATAAAAAGAATGTATAAACATAAAAATGTATTTTTCGAAAAGACCAACTTTATATATCATCTTTGTATATCAGTTTAAATCTCATTTGGGGGATTGTATCGCTGCCAAAAAAAGTACATATAATGGTTTGACGACCGCCACATTATCAAGACGTCTTACAATTTAAAGACACATTGCTGTCCACCTTGAAAATATAAAAAATTATTTGTTGACAGCACCAATATGTGAAAATGACAAAGACTTCAAATTCTCGAGGCCCTCTATACCAAAAGCAAGCAACCAACATTGAACAAAATTTATTAAGGGTGTAGTAGTAATGTTTGAAAATGCATTTGAGTTGACTACCATTTAACGCCATGTTGCATTTTTACAGTCTCTGGTTATCTCCTTTAGATTGTGGACGCTTGTTTACAAAAAAAGCATCGTAGCTACAATGGTTAATTTTTTAAATAATTATAACAGAGCGCGTTCACGCGGATTTACGTAAATCACCATCACAGCGCTCGAAGTTACATTAAGTTTCTTTTCGCAATTCATTCCTGAAGATGGTCTCGGAGATCGAAAGTACTTCGGTTAGCAGAAACTACGGCGCTTTTTTTGATGAATTTTATTAATTCGGTGAAATACAACGGACAGTTTATAAGCTTTAAGAAAATTCAGAACGTCAAATATTGGTCCACTTTGCGAATTTAGTGACATAGTGGTTGTGGTTTCAATCCCTAGATCGGGCAGTGTGTACTTCTCTACAACGCCTGGGGGAGACATCAACCGGAACATGAAAATATTCAAAGAGAGAGAAACTTAGCAAATTAACGGACAAATCAAATACATAAATCAAACACAAGTCAATCTTCACCGGACAAAACCTCAACTTCAATTCCCAACAACCATGCAATGTGAAGAAAAGGATTGTTCCATGCGTACAACGCGAAAAAAGTGGCGTTCCAGATATATACCAGCCACAAATGATCAGCATTAATCGTACCCTTCAGAAAAATATGACATCAACGTGTACATATGGCAACAGACGTGACAAGGAGGATGACCAGAAAATTGCCACTGTCTGTCTAATTTACATCGAGGACTTACTTGAACAATATACAGATATGTGGACCATACAACATCAGAATATTCAGAAGCAATTACGCACTACGGGGAAATTTCTGCCAAGTGAAGTCTAACACTTAGGAGAACATGAACAAGAATATAAATGTGAAACAAGACGCCCCCTAAAGTTAAGACTGAAGGAACATTGAAAGCCGTAGTGAGAGGTGAGACAATGAAATCGGGTATGGCCGATCATGTATGTTGGGAAATGGGTAGTCATCAACCCTTATAAAATGAACTGAAAATACTAGACAAGGATGAACACTGGAGATTAAGACATCTGTAAAAAAAATCAGTGCATATCCTAGGCTATGAGGAGCTCCTAAGCTGGCCGTGCATATCAATAAATATATAATAAAGACAAATGACAGCAAATCTTCAACTGCTGCAGCAGCAGCAATCAAAATATGATAAACAGCAGAAGCAGCCAAATGTTAAAAGTTTAAAACTCGAAGTCACTACAATGACCAAGTGGATAAAAGTGCTCGTTTCTAAATTTTGTGACATAGTGCTCGTTAGTTCAATCCATAGGTTGGGTAGTGTTTACTTGAATTCTAAACAATACTAAATAAATTAAGAACTAGAGAACGGTCTACCACCATAGATTAACTAAAAGGTTCAGTTCAGAATTCACTGTAGGTTACCCAGATCGATATACACTTGAGGAAGGCCGGAGGGCACAACGGCCGCGACGTTGTGATAACAAAAGAAAGATGAGGACAATAGTTAAAAAGTAAATAGTGTAAAAGATTATAATTCCTCATCCCAGAAATTCAGCGAGAAAGTAAAAATTGATCTTTAGATTTGTAGAAATGAAGATCGGCCAATGTTTAACCATTTGTCATTCTTTTGTTGACTGAAGCAGAAACACGTCACTTTGGACAAGACAACTGGAGACGAAAACTGGAATTATGTCGAGAAACAAAAAAGAAAAAAAATTGAGTCATGAATTGGCAGTGATTTTACAATCGAAATGCTTTCAAAATGATGATAAAAAGGTATTGTTAAGGATCAGGAATTAATACCTGGGTTACTGACTGAGAAATTGGGGATATTTTAGCTTTGGCGAAATGATTGCGCCAATTTTGTTTGGAGCTGATTCGCCGCAGATCGAATAAACCATTTGGATAAATATTCATCGATGTACTAGATGACTGCTTTATCAAGTGAATCTATTTTGGACCGGAAACGGAAGCTGAAATTGGAAATAACCAAAAACGAACGGTCATTTTGTTTTTCTTTCTTTATTTTGTGGATTATTTTCATTTCCTCTCGCTATTCTATTTCGGTTTTTTTTTTCTTTTCTTCTATTTCCTTTCTTCGCACCCTCCACTTTTCACATTTTCCTTTCTATTCATATTCTTCTTTTCCTCCCACCATTCTCTCTTTGTCTTTTCCTTTCTATTCATATTCTTCTTTTCCTCCCACCATTCTCTCTTTGTCTTTCCCATTCGATTCTTCTTTTTCTTCTCGGAACCTTCTCTTTTCGCCTTCTCCTTTCGGTTCTTTTTCCTTTGTTCGCGGCATTCTTTTTATGCCATTTCCTTTTTATTCTTCTTTTACTTTTCCTCGCACCCTATACTTTTCGCCTTTTCCTGTATATTCTGATTTTTCTCTTTCTCACGCACTTAGTTTTCGCCTTTTCTTTTTTATTCTTATTTTCGTTACGGCGCATCTTTCTCTTTTCGTTTTTTCCTTGCTATTCTTTTTCGTTTCTTCGCGCCATTCTCTTTTCGCCTTTGCCTTTCTATTTTTCTTTTTCGTTTCTTCCCGCGCTTCTCATTTCGCCTTATCACTTCTATTCATCTATTTTGTCTCGCAAATTTCCCTTTTTCCACATTTCCTTTTTATTTTTCGTTTTCGTTTCTTCACGCCCTTCTCTTTTTGCCTTGATCTTTCGATTCTTCTTCATTTCTCTTTCTTTTTTGTCTTTGTTATTTTTAGTTTCTCTTTTTTGATTTGTCCCTCAGATGAAATTAAGTATTTTCCGTTTTCACCTGAATGTATCACGCGGCAAAATTGTTGAAAACAATTTGAATTAAACCAGATGTATTTAGTTTAAATCGAACAGAAAATTATTTTCGGACAAAATATCCGACTAGAAATAAAAGATCGAATTACCAGAAAATATGACACTTTGTTTTTATTGGCACGCTTCACACAATGCGTTCTTCCGATCCATTTTAATTCCTGTAACTTGAACAAGTTGGACGTTTGGTTCAATTTAACTGCTAAAACCTTCTTTGTTTTCTTCCAATGCTAACATGTCAAATTCGCCATTTTTTTTAATGTCCTTGATTTATTGACAGCTTAAATACAAACTGGATTTGACGCTGATCCGAAATTTCCGACCGATTAATTCGATTTTGTTTAAAACTCTTGTCGGTTTTTGATGTCCACAACGTCAAACACCTTCGACATCCTCTCGGCCGTAAAAATTCTTTTATATTAATCTAACCTATGTGCACGTACAAATATTCTCTTCCTTATAAACTTCAGTTAGCGCGCGAAAACATTCGGTAGCTCTTTCGTTCAATTTTGTCCGAAAATTAACATTGCTGTATTTGTCGCTACTTTTGGACTGAACATTTTATGACATGTTTACTCCAAATGATATGTAAACTAAAGAATTGATCGGCGAAAACTCTCGCGATTGGTTTATTAATTGGTCAGTGAGACCCTGTGCTTTGTCAACCTGGGATGATTCTAGTTTCCAATAACTACAACTCATGTGTATGTACGTTAAGTAATGAAGATTTTTTTCGGTCCTAGCAAGATACCCTTCAAAAATACAAACCTGATGTTTGGTCATGGTTCTAGTGTTGGGAATCGGGTTGAGAGAAGAATGTTTCATCACCTACTTCTCTTTCTCTCTCTCTCTCTCTCTCTCTCTCTCTCTCTCTCTCTATCTATCTATCTATCTACCGATCTCTCTCGCTACACACACACATATATATATGCACACACACACATACACACGCACACACACACACACACACATATATATATATATATATATATATATACATATATATATATATATATATGACGGACTCTCACGTCGAGTTCGACGTTTGAGGTTCCGACGATCACCATCTAATTATCTGCATGCTTATGATGGGCATGACTTTTGAGGCCGGCACGATAACTGCACAAAAGACCATAAACAGTAAAGAAGAAAGTATTGCATGAAAGTGCAGCAGGAATACTGTTAACTGGTTTATTTCGCTTTCGTGTTTCACGCAGTCGAATGATGCTTCCTGCTTGATGGTGCTTTATTCCACCATGGCGGCTGGAACGATACTCCAACTGCATCGGGCTGGCAAGGATGAGTGGTGATCGCATAACAAAAGATTCTTTTCTGCAGTCAACTCCATATTGGTCATAGAACTGTTGGTAGACCTTGGCTCAGGTATAAAGATAAACTGAAAATCAATCTGTCTTGCGTCAACATTCCATTCAAGAACTTTGAGGATGTAGCTATGAAGATATATATATATATATATATATATATATATATATATATATATATAATACTAATAATCATCTATACTCATCGGGAAAAACCTTAGGTGTTTTAGCTTGTAAATGAACAAACCAATACCCAAGTGGAAAAAAAGGGTAAAAAAAGAAAGAACTAAGAAGATGTACTTCCGGCGAAAATAATCGTCCAGAATCTAAGTTTAGAGTCCAAAGAGAAAAAACCTCCGACACGAGTAAAGTAAAAATAACTAAGCAAAGTGCTCAATACGCTAAGTCGAGCAAATTAAGTAAACCTAAAGAGCTAGACAAACCTACCTAGGTCTCACCTACGCGGATCGTCAGGCTAAACTGGCTAAAGAGGTGCTATGAGAACCGAAATGCTTTTGAATAAATATGTTTTAACACCCCCCACCGTTGTTGTGTTACTGTTTTTTTTTTTTTGCTTTATGTTTGTTTTTTTGGTCACATGGTCATGTTGTTTTTTTTATGTAGGCTATATATTTTCTGTTCTTATAGCACCTCTTTAGCCAGTTTAGTCTGACGATATACACAATAACCGAAAATACTCAACGGTCATAGCAAATTTAAAAAGTAAAAAAAAAACTACTAACCAACTGAAATTAAAAATTAACTGATCCCGGCCAAAAACATAGAACAGGCCAATTTCAAACTTTCTAAAATAATCGGAAATTACAAACCAAAATACATGTATGGAACTATAAAATTACACAAATCTAATTTCCATCTCCGTCCCATCATATCACAAATGCCTATTCCGGTTTGCAACTTAACCAAAATCATCAACTAACTCATAACACTATAAATTGCAAATATTACAACAATCCATCTCTCCCTGCACTAAAAATCAAATCTAATATATTACGAAAACTACTTTTGACTTGTACAAGTGGGGTTCCCTTCTGAGACCATCAAGATAATTTCTACTTATAACGTGATGGCATTTCCACGGGTTCAATTCTGGCACCAACTTTTAGTAACTTCTACTTGGCTAACCTTGAAAATAAAATATTTAACACCATTAAAATCCTTCCATACACCTAAGATATGTAGATGATATTCTCATCTGAGTAAAAAACATACATGAAATACATGCATTACAAAAAATCCATTCTTTACGTCACATATGAACATTAATAATAAAACGATTGATCTATTGATAAACACTAATAATAATACCTTTACTACTTACAAAATTTGATAAAAGTTAACTATTCCACACTTTCTACACTGAATTAAAAAAAAACTTAATCATGCGCAATAACTCTTCTCTGTCAACTATTGTTTTGGAAAAGAGTAACATTTTATATCAGCTTAAATGTCCTTTGGGAGATTGAATCTCTGACAGAAAAGTAAGCACATATATTGGTTTGATGGCCACGACATTATCAAGACATCTTGCACTTCATTTCTCGGATACAAGTTCCATCGCTCAACATCTAATAACACATTCCTGTTTACAATAGAGGAAAATACTTGTTGGCTACAACAATATACTACACCAATAATAAACAAAAACTTCAAATACTCGACGGTCTTGTATATCAAAAGCAACTAACCAACACTGTACAAAATTTATGATGAGTGTAGCAGAAAGGAAGTAAACATAACAATCATTTAATGCCATTTTGCACTTTGCACCAATTTCCGGTCAACATTCTTTTACTGAAACGCTTGTTTTGCAAAAAATCCCCAAACTACAAGGAATAAATTAGAATTTTAAATAAACTATAACAAAGTGCGGTCGCGCATGTTTTTAAAAATCACCAAGGAGGACAGATATTATGAAACAGTACTCTTTTCCTCGTTTCTAGCGAAGTTTTCTATTTCATATATATATATATATATATATAATATTAGTGGAAAATATACATACATATATATGTTTATGTGGTTACACCCGTATGTGTATGTATATATATGTATATGTTATTGTGTGTATTCGCATCTGTTTTTGAACATAGAAATATAGGTCCTTGCTGGATTAGATAATCGTTATATTTATCTTTATATATTTATATTTGATTTGTAACCTGTAGTCGATATTAAATTTGTCAAATTTTCTCAATTACAAAGCGGCCCTTTAAGTAAACGCAATTTTACTGTCTTTCGTCCCATCTCTCTCCCCCACCTCGTCTTTCCCTCCCTCTTATTCTAACATTAGATTGTCTATGGTGTGTGTGTGTCACCACGAAATGTATCTTTATGCATTAGACATCCGTCAGCATTCATTTTTTTTCTCTTAATTAAACCCCTTCCACACATCTCTCCTAAAATTCTCTCTGTTATGGTTTAATCTCCCTCCTCCTCATACTTACACTTTCTCTAAATTCTGTTTTTATTTCCGGAGTTGTTTTTTTTTTTGTTTTCTTTTTGAATTTGTAGGTCTGATGAATTGGATCGTATTTACGATTCCAATGAAATAAATTATGACCATGGAATATTAGTGTTTAAGCCTTTTTATTATATATATATATATATATATATATATATATATATATATATATATATACAGGTAAAATGAGAACGAATAGAGTACAATTCCAACGTTCGTAACATTTAATTCAAAAGAGGGCTCAATACAAAGTAGAGCAATATATCTATTTTAGGATATTACATTGAAAATGTGTCCAAATCGCTACACAATTGCAGTTATATTTCGATGCATAAACAACGCATCTCATCAGGTGATTGTAAATTACTGGTGAGGGAACGATTTACTCAGATTTAAAAGCAAAGTACAGCCTCTTTTTACGAAAAAGAAACGAGGGTGTTTTGGTTATAATGTTTGTGGGCTTTATTTAAATCAACCAATCAAATATGACCTACGTTAAATTTAAACTAAGGGTAGAATCAAAAATTACGAAATTATTTCCCATAAATGGGTTATGACCCATAAGTTTGAAATCAATGACAGCAACAGACGTTAAACAGGAGTGGGTGTGAATGGATACATATTGTGCATTTAGACAATGTCATTTCCTAAGAAAATTTAAGCCGTAATCTCATAAAAAGCTAGACTAACTACAAGCTTATATCTTTGGGGTTTGAAAGACCTTATACATCTTGTAGTTATTAAAAACAAGGCTCATAACATTCATCGAGTGGTTCGTAGATTAATGCAACATTAAAATTTTGTTTGCGGAGAGATTTCGCCATTTTATATCATTAACTTTACTAATCTACTTTTTGTATGAATGATTCACTATAATATATATATATATATATATATATATATATGCGCGTAACCAAGTTTATAAGTGTGGTACCTCTTTTTAGTATTTAAAGTGAAATGTATTTAAACATTTAAATTATACTGACAAAATATTATTTAAAGCGATATAAAATGTGTTTTAATTTCACTTACCTTATTTAAATTCAAATAGTCTTTTTAAACTTTTACAACATTTTAAAATGTGAATATTTTAATCAGTAAATTGCATAAAAAGAAAATAGTTATGATTTTAATGTTTATGCAGGAAATTGATGCATCAAATATCAGAATCATATGTTCTAGATTCTCCC